CAGTTCTTTGAGATTTCTGGGCTGTCTGTCACGCACTGCTCTTTTAAGGTCTATCCATAGATTTTCAATTATGTTGAGGTCAGGAGATTGTGAAGGCCATGGCAAAACCTTCAGTTTACGCCTCTTGATGTAATCCCCCGTGGATTTTGAGGTGTGTTTAGGATCATTATCCATTTGTAGAAGCCATCCTCTCTTTAACTTCAGCTTTTTCACAGATGGCATCAAGTTACCATCCAAAATTTGCTGAAATTTTATTGAATCCATTTTTCCTTCTACTCATGAGATGTTCCCTGTGCCACTGGCTGCAACACAACCCCAAAGCATGATTGATCCAACCCCATGCTTAACAGTTGGACAGAGGCTCATTTCATTAAATTCTGTGCCCCTTCTTCTCCAAACGTACCTTTGCTTATTCCGGCCAAAAAGTTAAATTTTAACCTCATCGGTCCACAGAACTTGTTTCCAAAATGCATCAGCCTTGTCTATATGTTCATTTGCAAAGTTAAAACGATGATTTTTGTGGTGAGGACGTAGAAGAGGTTTTCTTCTGATGACTCTTCCATGAAGACCATATTTGTACAAGTATCTCTTTATAGTGGAATAGTGTACCACAACTCCAGTGTCTGCCAGATCTTTCTGGAGGGATCGTGCAGTCAAACGTGGGTTTTGAATTGTTTTTCTCACAATCCTGCGAGCTGTTCTGTCTGATATTTTTCTTGGTCTTCCAGATCTTGCTTTAACTTCCACTGTTCCTGATGACTGCCATTTCTTAATTACATTCCGAACAGAGGATATTGACATGTGAAAACGCTTTGCTATCTTCTTATAGCCTTCTCCAGCTTTGTGAATGTCATCTATTTTCAGTTTCAGTTTTCTAGACAACTGCTTAGAAGAACCCATGGTGCTGATTGTTGGGGCAAGGTCAGATGAGTCTGGGCATTTAAAACCTTTGAGATTGACATCACCTGGTCTTCCCAGACGATGATTGAGAACAATCCATGACACTGGCAGGTCTCAGCTTGGCAAAGGGGGCAGTGCATGCTATAAATTCTGCAGGGTGCCCAAACTTTTGCAGACGCCATTTTTTTGTTTTCTGTTATTTTGAAAGTGTAAATGATGGAAATAAAATCTAACTTTTGTTGACATATTATAAGAATGTCTAATCTGTAATTTGATGCCTTTTGGAGATTTTTCCATCTTTCCTTGGCTTCTTTATGCCCATTAATACAAATTTTTAGCTGGGGTGCCCAAACTTTCGATCCCCACTGTATATTGTACATTCACATCAGTGCCTGCCCTCAAGAAGCATACAATCTAAGGTTCTGAACTCATACATACATACATACATACATACATATACTAACATGCAAACTCCAGGCAGGTATTACCATTATTTGTTTGCTTAAACAAATTTGATGGAGAAATGTAAGAGACAGAGCAGGTAACTAGTCATTGTTTTCTGTATTTATCTGTAATCAATTTGTTTTTTTTTTCTTCGTTTGTTTTGTGTAACAAGATCAGTGTAGTAGCAGTGGGGCCTTTGACCAATCTGGCTTTGGCAGCAAAAATTGATCCTACTCTTCCAAAGAAGATTAACAAATTGTATATCATGGGAGGAAATATGGCAGGTAATTGTTCTTATGGATTTCATTATTACTGTGAGGTTTCATGTCCATAGACAAGCAGATAGTTGAAAACATCAGGCAGGGAGACAACTCCCTCACATGAGAGCTGGTACATGACCCAAACCTTATCAGACCTGTGGTGCATAAATAGGATAATCACTTGCTTTTATTGAGCCATTAATTGTCATCTATATTGTATGTTCTAAGAGTCAGGAGCAATTGTGTTATTTGAGATTCTAGGTTGAATAAAGGTGCCTTGAGATTATCCATAATTTTAAAGGGGTATCTTGACTGAAAAAAGGTTGAGAAACACTGTCTTAGATCCTTGCTTTGTACATCAAAAACTGAATTCCTATTAAGAATTCACAACAAATAGTCAACGCAAACTGTTGGATGAAAATTGAATCTATGATTATGTCTGTCTTTTAGGTAGAGGAAACAGGACTGTATGCGCTGAATTTAACTTTCACCTGGATCCAGAAGCAGCTTATATAATAACAAATGAATTTACGTGTCCCATCTTTATTGCTACCTTGGAGTTCACAAGGGAAAATAGCCTAACAATGGTATGACATTTTCTTTTTAGATTTACTATATTCATAACTCTACAATCCATATAATTTTTTCAAGATTTTTATTTCTTTAAAGGAAAAGTGAGGCCAAAGCTCTTTTGGACATATTTCTCCTGTGGGTCAGAGGAGTGCACTTAGTTCTGCACTCCTGTGACCCTTCTTCAGCCAAGAGCAGGTTAAAGTCCACTGTTGGCTGGCGTCACTCAGTGGTCCTGACTCTGGCCAGATTCTGACTTTAACCACTCGCCCCACAGAGGATTTATCATCCTTCCTGACCAGGCCATTTTTGCATTACGGTGCTGTGTTACTTTGACAATGGCATGATCATGCAACACTGCACCCAAATGAAATTTATGTCCTTTTTTTTTCCCACATATTGAGCTTTCAGTGGTATTTGATCACCTGTGGGGTTTTTATTCTTTGTGCTATAAAAAAAATATATATATATTTTTGACTTTTTGCTATTAAAGCGGAGTTCCACCCAAAAGGGGAAGTTCCGCTCTAAAGACTGTCAGACAAATGAAGTGTAATGCCAAAGGGGCAGCCATATTAATAGACCAAAAATTAAGGATTCTCATTGGATGAGCAGTATAAATACAGGTATGTTTACACAAATGTAGTTACCATAATGTGTTGTTGTGACTGCTGGTAAAGACACACATACATTCTATACTTGTTTGGGTAAGACTGGAAACCACACCCCACAACCCATGAAAGTGTTTTAGCAACTTGAGTAAATAAATGTTGACATCAGATCATTATTGGGTAGATTTACTAAAACTGGAGTGTTCAAAATCTGGTGCAGCTGTGCATGGTAGCCAATCAGCCTCTAACTTCAGCTTGTTCAATTAAGCTTTGAGGGAAGAAAAAAAAAAAAAAAAAAAAAAGCTGGAAGCGGATTGATTTCTATGTAGAGCTGCACCAGATTTTGCACTCTCCAGTTTTAGTAAGTCAACACCATATTTGTCTTTGATAGTTGTTATTCACTTTATTTAATTAACACAATAAACCTTTCTCCTCCTTTAAAGGAGTATTTCAGAAACTGGGTGGAGCAAGACACTGACAAAGCCAGGTTTATGAAGAAGATCACAGCTAAGTGGCGACAGAAATATGGTTTTGTTTCCTATGACTCTTACGCCATGGCTGCAGCAATTGATGACAGCATTGTAGCGGAGTACCTAGAGTGTGCAGCGAGTGTGGAGCTTCATGGCAGATATGCTAGGGGGATGTTGGTGCTGGACACTGAGGACAAGTGGAAGAAACAACAGAAAGTTGTTCTGATGAAAAGATGCAACACAGAAAAATTTAAAGAACGATTATGGTTTGCTCTGCAATAAAATAAATACAACTGCATTTAAATAATGAGCTTTTTTTTTGCCTGAACTACAGCTTGACAAACAACTTTAATCCAGTCCAAGTATTTCTGATAGGTAATTCAAGAGGAGCAGGTCCTACTATGAACAAGTTGTCAAGTATACTTTGTATTACAATGAATGTTTAAAGTCACACATTGGTCATCTCTAATTTGACTGATATACCATTGGTTACCAAAATGAACACTTCGTTGAGCATGACAGATTTTAAAACCAGTGTAACAAGCTGCTATACCTACATGCATGCCAAAGTGCTTTTCAAGCTAAAGGCTACAAATGCATATCCTCTAAAGCGTTATTTCTGAAACTAATTAAATTATCTTTGTAGAACATCCGATACCCTTGATCCAAGGCCATTTAAAGTGCTTGTAAACCCTTACATATACCCAGTAAAGTGACTGGCCTCAGGTGATACACAGAGATGAAACAAATCTTCCTACATAAGTTGCACCTATTTATCTGTCTCTTCTCTACACTCACTAAAACTACTGAATTTATAAAGCTTGTCAGAGTTGATTTAAAAAAAAAGGGGGGCAAAGAGCTGATATTACACACTGCAGCGCTCAGTGAGGAGAGAGCTCTACAGAGCTGAGCTATCAATCTGCTGGAGGTCCCTCATCATCTAAAATCCCAGGAACAGAGTTGAGGATGTCAATCTCAGGCTGTGTGCTGGAGCTTCCTCCCGGTCACCTTTTTTCTTTTGGTGTCAGGAAAACCTGTCAAATGATTCATGCTGATCAGAGGGATGAAGAAGCAGACAGAAATGACACTTACTGCTCTTGCGACAAGTACACACTATAGAGCAGTGGTTCTCAACCTTCCTCATGTTGTGGTGACCCCCAACCATAAAATTATTTTCGTTGCTACTTCATAACTGTAATTTTGCATGGGAGGAGTAGTGCCACATCACTGATGTCAGTGGGAGGAATAGTGTCCCATGGTTGGTATCAGTGGGAGGAATAGTGCCACATTGTTGGTGTCAGTGGGAGGAATAGTGCCCCATTATTGGTGTCAGTGGGGGGGGGGGAGAATAGTGCCCCATCATTGATACTAGTGTGGGGGGGAATTGTGCCCCATCATTGGTGTCAGTGGGGGGGGGGATAGTGCCCCATCGTTTGTGTCAGTGGGGGGAGGAATAGTGCCCCATCGTTTGTGTCAGTGGGGGGAGGAATAGTGCCCCATCGTTTGTGTCAGTGGGGGGAGGAATAGTGCCCCATCGTTTGTGTCAGTGGGGGGAGGAATAGTGCCCCATCGTTTGTGTCAGTGGGGGGAGGAATAGTGCCCCATCGTTGGTGTCAGTGGGGGGAGGAATAGTGCCCCATCGTTGGTGTCAGTGGGGGGAGGAATAGTGCCCCATCGTTGGTGTCAGTGGGGGGAGGAATAGTGCCCCATCGTTGGTGTCAGTGGGGGGGGGGGGGGGGAGGAAATAGTGCCACATCATTGGTGTCAGTGGGAGGAATAGTGCCCCATCATTGGTATTAGTGACACCAATGATGGGGCACTATTCCTCCCACTGACACCAATGATACTTACCTTGCTGACTCCTGCTCCAGCCTGGGCTCGCTCCCTCCCTCCCTCTCTCATCTACAGCCAGCATACCTGGCTGCAGCAGCACCATCTGCACGCTACAGACACTTACCTGTCAGCTGTCTTCCTTCTCCGGCAGCTCCCTCGCTCGATCTTCTTTGATTTTCGCGCTGCTGCTCGGCTCCTCCTCCTCGCTGGTGATTGGCCGCCTGTGTGCCTTTACTGAGCTACAGTTCCAGCGGCCAATCACTGGCAAGGAGGCGGAGCTGTTGAGTGATCCCGGGGATGTGGCCAGATGACAGGGGCGGCATGTCATCCCACGCACACATCGCGGTCCAGGGAAATGTGGACGTATCTGCATGTGGGCGGCCCCCCCCCCCCCCCCCCCCCCCCCCCCCCCCCCCCCCCACCCGCCTGGAGACTGATAGAGGAGCGGTGTCTCGGTTCCTAAGACCATCGGAAATATGTGTTTTCCGATGGTCTTAGGAGACCCCTGTGAAAGGGTTGTTCGAACCCCAAAGGGGTCGCGACCCACAGGTTGAGAACCGCTGCTATAGAGGGATATGCTTTGTTCATATTTCATTTCTGAGGTTTACAACCACTTTTAGGTGCAACAGATCAATTCAGTTTTATTTAGTATGAGGTTTGCTTCAAACAGGCCCACATTTCCTAGGAAAAATGGTTTCCACAGCCCCCAGAAGAAGCTGTTTCATGGTTTGTCTGGTGAGGAGGAAATCCTCGATTTTCCCCTTTGGGGGGGGGGGGGGGGGGAGTATAGTTACATAGTTGATCAGTTTGAAAAAAAGACAACTCCATATAGTTCAACCAATAAAAAAAAACAAAAAAAAAAAAAAACCTATACTTAAAGTTGACCCAGAGAAAGGTAAAATAAAACCCTGTAAATCTTTGTCTGATTTGCTCTAGCAGGGGAAAAATCCTTTCTGGTCCCCAAAGTCAATCACATATACCCTGGATCAACAATCTTTGGTGATATTACCTATATATAAATATCCAGTTATATTCTCCAAATAATCTACTGAGCTGGTCAGAACTAGCTGCTGAGGGAATCTATTCCACATTTTCATGGCTCTTACTGTGAAGAAGCCTTTCTGTATGTGAAGGTTAATCCTCTTTTCATCCAGTCATAGTGCCTCCCCCCCTTGTCCTTTGTACTGACCTTTAACACTGCAGCAGCTTCACTAAAAAGACCACTTATTTACTTAAACATGGTGATTATATCCCCCTTTATTATTATCCCCCTTTAATAACCTTGGTGATTATATCTTCTCGAGAGAGCTCAGTTAATCTTTCCTCATAGCTCATCCATGCCGCTTATCAGTTTGGTTTCCCTTCTCTGCAATTTCTCTAGTTCCCTGATATCCTTTTTGTGCATTGGTGTCCAAAATTGCATATTTCAGATGTGGGTGTGTCGCTGGAGTCTCTTAATGCAAGAAAGTATTTAAAATTGGCAGCTTGGCATTGCATGCTATTTTAAAAGTGTTACTAAACCTAGGACCCTGCATTCACTATATCTGATCTCCCACAGTACTGTAGGCACATATCATACTTCTTTAGTGTCTATAGGCGAGGGTGTCTTCCTTATTTTCATGGCCATTGTCTCATGTGGTGCTTCTTCTGAGTCATTAGCAAGAAGACGGAAGTGACGAGTTTTTGTCTTAGAGAATGCACCTGTTCCAGTCGGTCACTTCTGTGAATATCCATAGCATCTTAATACCATGCTTGCGTATGCGTGTGGTCGTCTGAAGTGCCCCCTTCACATGTCTTAGGATGCCTTTCTATGATGCTTGTATGCGTCATAATTCGGGATCCTAGAACCTTGTATGGCAAACAATACTGCTTAGCAGAGCAATTTCATTGAAGGGAGGGGACACTACATATATGGTCTTTTGAATGACAGGGCCATATGTAATGACCATAAGCTGGAAATGTTGCATCAGCCTGCTCATGTGACCAGTCTGTTTAAATGATAATATAAAATAAGAATGTATCTTTACAACATAATAGCTCAATAATGCTGTATAACCAAAAATCTACATATGTAACACATATTACCAACTTATAAAACAAACTAAATCCACACATACTATTAGAATATATTTTTTCATACTAACTCTATTTTGGTTCACTCCTGACTCCCATGTCATTCTACACTAGAGTCCTTTAACCTCCCTAGCATTATGATTATGTCAGTATTTCTGTGCTCAATGGAAATATGTTTTTTTTTTTATTGTAGGCCTGCAATTCTTAGGAAAAACTCACTGAAATCTGTTTAAGAGTCTAGTAGACATCCTTGGTGCAATAAAGTTTAATAAATTAAATCATACATTATAATTAAAAATAATAATACATTAAATAATGTAATCAAACACATGGAACTCTGTCCAAATAATATTATATAGACACTGCATTTTCTAGAACACATCATGGGGGTGGTATATTTTGAAACATGGGACTGCACAAAGTCCGACATCGCAATCAGGACAGTGGAACCTCGTTTGCGTGCTGATTTTTTTTTTCCACTCTCATCTCACCGAGATCAACATACCACGCACATCCATGTAAGTGATACCTTTTTTTGGATTGGTGGGATGTGGTCTATAAAATGACATCCAGTCAGACGTTCTGGGTTGACAACTCCCACAGCACGTCGTCCCACAGACACTGATGGTGTTTGATGCTTGAGGAAAATGGATTCCGCGACTTTCCATATAAAGTCTGCATGAACCACAGGCTTGTCACTGTTTTTGCGGAACAATATAGGCATTGCACAAGCACTGTTCCAGAAGATGCTGGAAAATCTTTTTATAGCATTTCCTCTGCTGCTTTCTCATCTCCCATGGCGTGGTTGTAATCAACCTACGGCTTCTGGATGTTTTTCCAACCTTTTGTTTGTGCCATCACTGTGGAGGCATTGTGAACGGTACTCATTAGGCACACATCCTTTTTGCCCCGCCATCTCAGTGCCATCATTTTGCCTTTCTGCCAGGCAACCAATTCTCCCAACTTCAGTTTGTTTTTTTGCAAACATTGATGGCAGGTTGCGCCGGTTAGCCCGAATGGTTCAATATGCATCCGTTTTCTGCTGCAGAAGAACCTCGTAAAGTTCTGGAGAGGTGTAGAAATTGTCCGTTGTTACACAGTAGCCTTGGTTTAGCAGAGGCTCAATCAGTGACAGGACGGAAGATGGTTGCCATTCCATAATTGCTGTACTTGGGAACAAAATTTGTTCCCTTGCCGGTGTATATAACTGTGTTCCAGATGTAGCCGGTAGAGGATTTGCACAGAAGGTAGTATTTGATGCCAAACCGTGCTCTCTTGGATGCGATATATTGTATCCAGCTTAGCCTTCCTTTGTAGGCCATTAGACTTTCTTCTATGCTAATGTCTCTCTCTGGCACATAGCTCTAGTGGAAATTTCTGACAATTATTTGGGAGACTTCCCAAATTTTTTTTTAGCTTGAGTCGATTCATCAAAATCCACATGGTTTGTGAAGTGCAAACATTTCATAATAAGGGAAAAGCTGTACTCCAACATGACGGTGCCAAAGAACGGCGTGGCGAGCAGTTTGTTTGTGGTCTAGTGCCACTTCTGCAGTGGTTTCCCCACTACTCCTTCCAGAATATTTAGGCCAAGAAACAGCCAAATGTCCTCTGGTGACCGGTTCCCACTTTCTGCTTTGTGAAAACCGGCTGTGTGGAGCAGCTAGTTCTTGCGCTGGGTACCTATTTGTCACCGTCACGATAATTTCAATAGCCTCATGAGTCAGAAACAATTTCAAGTACACCAAGGGGTTGTCACCTTCAACATGGATTTTCATACCAGGTGCGTGGTAAACTGAAATCTTGGCGGCACTGGCGTATCGCAATCAAAAGTGCACCACGTGCGCAGATCACTCACATCAATCTCAGACTCGCCACTGTCTTCACTTTCCATGTCTGAAGACAAATCGCTGCATGAGTCGCTGTCGCTCAATTCAAGTAGCTCCTCACTGTTGCTGTTCGCTAGCTGATCATAAACTACTTTGGCGCTAGCAAGGCACTTTTTGGAAGCCATGAGCGCAAAACTGTTTTCAGTCACAGAAACTGAAAAAACTGCACAATGGAAATATCTGAGGTAAAAAGTTACAATGTATGCACTAGAATAACACTTTATTTTGACACTGATATATTTTTATAACTCCTGCCTCCTGACAGCACAGCACGGCAGGCTCACGCTGATCACACTGATCAGCGTGAGATACAAGGGAAGCAGGAAAGGAGACGGAACGGACGGAGGGGATGGCTGCATGCGGCTCATGGACCCCGGACACGGATCAGGTCCTTAGTTTGTGGTGACCCCGAGTCTGGCTCAGGGTTACCGCTTTTGACAGCTAGATTTATCCCCAAGCTCGGGAAAACTACTAGGGTGGTTAACCAGCTATGGCCTTCTATGGAATACTCAGCTTTCAGCTGGTTAGCTTAACTAACTCCTGTCTCAGCTATAACTGAAGAAATTAACACTATCACTGGTTCAAGGCCAATCACACATTTTAATATTAATTATGATTAATCATAAACAAATATTTTGCAAGCTTGCCATCAATATAAGCACCGAAATATGAATTTGGAATTAATGTTTATCAAGTACACACATGGAAATGCAATTATTTTAGAAAATAATAAACTGCTAAAAACTTTTTCTCATCAGCAGTTATAGCAGTCTTGTGACTTCTATCAGAATCCAGCACAGCACTGGTTAAAGCGTGTAGGAGGAGTTTTCATTGTCCCCCGATTGTCCTATGAAGCTGCATAACTCCTGTCCCTCTGTCTGGACAGTGCTGATTGGCCCTGTGCTGATCACATGCACCCTCCCAACAATAAAAAAAAAAAAAAAAAATTCTAGCAATACACATCAAACTGAG